CCCACTGCCATAGCAGAACCTCTAAGCATAATTTTTGAAAAATCTTTCAGGACCAGCTCCTTGCCAAAACTATGGTCACAAGCCACGATCATCCCCTTCTTCAAAAAGGGAAACCCTAGCTTAGTTGAAAATTACAGACTAATCTCTTTATGCTGTGTCACCTGTAAAGTCATGGAATCAATTATTAACCAACCCATTATCCTCCACTTAGAAACAAACAACCTACTCTCTAATAAACAATTTTGTTTTAGGAAAAAACTATCCTGTAATCTTCAACTCTTACACTGCAAAAACATGAACTACACAACTCAATCAGCGCAAACCAATAGGGGCAATCTACATAGACTTCTGTAAAGCCTTTGATTCAGTGGCACATGACAAACTACTCTTAAAACTAAAATCTTACGGTATCTCTGGACACCTGCATAACTGGATAGAAGCATTCCTGTCAAACAGACAACAAACGGTCAAAATTGGGAGCTTCCTATCAAATTCTGTACCTGTCAACAGTGGTGTCCCTCAAGGCAGTGTTCTCGGACCAACTCTTTTCATACTCTACATAAATGACCTCTGTGATCATATCAAGAGCAACTGCGTTCTCTTCACTGATGATGTAAAGCTATTCAACACCACAGACAATACTGCTACCTTTCAAAAAGACCTTGACTATGTATCAGAATGGTCAAACAAATGGCAACTTCAAATCTCAACAAATAAATGCTCTGTCCTACATATTGGAAAAATGAAATAAAATAAAATAAAATACAGTCTGAACAGTCAAGACCTTGTTGATGATCCAAACTCTGTCAAGGATCTTAGAGTACTCATCTCAAATGACCTAAGTGCTAGAACCCACTGTAACTACATAGCCAAAAAGGCGTTAAGAGTTGTTAACTTAATCTCATGTAGCTTTTTCTCCGGTAATACTACTATACTAGAGCATACAAAACATTTGCTAGACCAATACTTGAATACAGCTCATCAGTCTGGAACCCACATTACGTATCTGATATTAACACAGTTGAGAAAGTCCAGAAATATTTCCCAAGAAGAGTTCTCCATTCCACTACTCATTGCAGAATACCTTATGCCACCAGACTCGAAATTCTAGATCTAGAAAACCTAGGACTACACCGCCTTTGGTCTGATCTAAGTATAGTATTTAAAATCATACATTGCAATATCCTACCAGTCAATGAATACCTCAGCTTCAACCATAACAGTAGAGCAAACAATAGATACAAGGTTAATCGCACCAAACTTGATTGCAGGAAATACAACTTCAGCAACAGACTGGTCAATGTCTAGAATACTCTACCTGACTTTGTGGTTTTTTTCCCCAAACCCCCAAAACTTTATAACCTTAGACTGTCTACTATTGACCCCACCCCTTTCCTAAGAGGTCTGTATGCATAAGCGTGCATAAGTGCACCAAAGTGCCTACCGTCCCTGTCGTTTTATATATTTTTTATTTTCCTTATATGTATCCATGTATTCATAACTGTGTTTTTACTTATACCTATTATCTTGTAAAAAAATAAAGAAGATATATTAGTAATTTAATTAATAAAGGAGAATATTTGTAGCTCAGGTTAAAGAGCGGAGTCCTTGGTACTCTCTGAGCTTGGTTGTTTTCTTGCAGATGTTTCATTACTCAAACTAGTAACATCATTAATGCTAGTAAGGAATGGGATTTGCTCTGTTTATATTCTGGTGGCTTCCCCTGGGGTCATCTTAGAGGTACTTTGGTTTACTGTTGACTTGTTTGGCAACCAAACAAGCCAATACAGCACAACCAACACAAGCTCTAAAAAGGATAACACTGCCATACATCAAGAATTTCTCAGAAACTATCAACTAATGTTGGTAATGAAACATAAGCAAGAGAACACCAAGGGCCCCTCAGTAGTTAATTCATCAGTTCGCATATTACACAATGATCTGAACCAAAAGAGAGAATAAATGGTATTAATAACAATTCATGGACTTATTTTTTCTGGCACAGGTGAGAAAAAGAAAAATTGAAGCATTGTTTTTATAATCAATATTATAATAGGTTTAAAAAAATTCTGATACAGTTTGGCTGAGTTTTAGAGTATGTATCTACAACTCTGTGGCTCTGCATAGCTTTTCATGGGGAGGGACAGATACAAATTTTAGAAACTCATATTGAGACTTGGAGGTTGTATGGAGATCATTCTTCTCTCTCCTTGGAAACCCTGTATTATTCAATCTAGAGCAAATTCCAAATTTTATTTGACTTAATTTAATTAAATTAAAAATTAGAATTTGATAGCCATATTTGGATATGTTCATTGGCCAATAATCAAAAAGAGCTATATGTGCCTGAACATTTTTGCTTGTAGGATCAAGGTAATAAAATTAAATAATCTTCGCAATGAAATACTAAACAAATGGCTGATCCTTTCTTCTTTGCATTCAATTTTATGGCTACATTTGCACTGTTCCTTTCCCTTTTCATACAAGATTCTCTGTTAGTGATGTATACTGTGATTTCCCTAAAGCATTGTTATTTTTAGCAGGACGGTGCTGTCATACATGCTTAAACAATTTCTCTAAAATTTTACAAGTATTTAAAAAGTCATTAATATGTTAACAAAATCTAACAGGCTTTCACTTTTCTTTTAAAGAAATCAGGAAATGCAGAAAATATAAGCATTGATAATTACTTTTATAACAACATCTATTCAAAAACCGTTGTATGTGATACAATAAACATCTTGGCTTATGTATATTTCCAAAAATGGTCCCTCATTCACATGAGGTAGAATTTAATTGGTAGTCCCAGGGTTTTATTATTTCTAACTTTCATTATACCAGTAATAGCTTATACTTATCTATACAATATTTTTCTGATGACTGTTATACAATTACAATAAAAAAGAGCTCGCAGACAATTCTTGCTTAACAACCATTCAATCAGTTGCCATTTGAATGGCAATGCTGAATGAATGGTACTTAGACCCAGTCCCTGAAGTTAATGTCTGTTGCAGCAGCTGTCTAGTCATGTGATAAAAACTTGGACATTTGGTGGCCTACTCAAACTTACAGTCACAGGGGTGCTTCAACAACTTCCCTCTCCATGTCTGACCTATTGTTCACCCTTCACAATGGCATTCCTTGGAATTGTAGCACTGAGGCTGAAATAGTTTGGCCTTCAACAGTCTTAAATAGCTTAACCAGTCTTAACCTTCAGGCGTCTACTTCAGTGCCAGTGTCACTGGCATTGCTGCTAAAGTAATATCTCAATCCCTGTGTTACAGCCCATACACCCCGCACCCCAGCATGAAGTTCCAGCCATCCCCATTGCCCTTTACTTCTTACACCCTGCTATGCCCAGATGATCTTTGGTGTCTTCCTTCCACTGCTGATAAAGTATACCTGGCCTGACTCGATATGAGGTAGTTGCTGGGTATACTCTAGAGCAGTGGTTGCCAACCTGTGGGCCGTGGCACACTGGTGGGCCTCGAGAAAATTTTGGTGGGCTGCAGAGAAATCTCACCCCCAGAGCATCCCCCCCAAAGCAATTAATCCAGGCTTCGCAGAAGCACAAGGCTGTGCAGCCCACATGGCCCACGGGAACCCTCCCTGCCCACTCACTCCTTACCTGGCAAACTTGCCTGCTAAATTGCTATTTTTCCTTTTTCCGACCCCCAGCTGTTCTGCTGTGCCGGGAGGTTTAGATTAGCTAGGAAGCAGGAAATGGTTGGATTTCTTACTTTCTAGCTAGTCTTTAGATCTTTGGCTCTGCTTTTAAGCACAGCTGAACCTCCCTTAGGACCGAAGGTTCTATTATTCAGTGCAAACTCACGGCAAGCAAATTTTATGTGACAGACTCAGATAGCCGATGGCAGATAATCACTGAATGATTCTGTGAGCAACTCAATCTGCCTGCTTGCTTTGCCTGTTTTTGGGTAAAAGTTGCTCTTTTTTTAATAAAAATTCAATAGTTACATACATGGTGTGTTGTGAGTTAATTTTGTGAATTTGCTTGCAAGTAAATTTTATGTGACAGACTGAGATAGCCGATGGCAGATAGATAGATCTCTGAATGATTCTGTGAGCAACTCAATCTGCCTGCCTGCTTTCCCTGATCTTGGGTAAAAGTTGCTCTTTTTTTATAAAAAACTCTTGCAGCTACAGCCACTTTTCCCATATTCAGTAAACTCAAGAACCTTGAGTTCACTAGGGAAATTCAATAACATATTTTAGAGACTTCGTACATTTTATGTATTTATTTACTGTACTTATTTATTTACTGCCACAGTCATAAGATTCTGTGGGAATTTTTTAGGATTACCAAGACAAATTAGCAAAAAATTTTGTGTAGTTTTTACACATCAGCTGTTTTTCTACCAACTTTTAGTGGTCCAATTTGGAGATCTTTTTATTGAAGGGTGACTGCCAGAAATAGGCTGAAGCTTTCTTGTCACAGTTTAGGGAAATGGGTGACATTCTGTAGTTTAAATTTTTGGCAACTGAGTGAGTAATATAAGATGCCTTCCAATTCCATAGAGCGTTTAGTTAAATTCAGATATGTTGTATGTCTGTTCCTTGTAGACTGGAAAAGAAAGAACAGTGTATCAGAAAAAAGAGAAAATGCGGGTCAGAGAATGAAACGGTGCTGTTACCTATCATGGACTCTGTTCTGATCCTTAAGCATACCCATCATATTGTCAGTGATACGGTACTTTATGATGTTTATCAATTTTTTATCATTGATATCAACAGCAGATATTTTAAATCTCAATGCTGGTGTATTTTATTTCAGTTTATGGTTTTATAAATTAGATTACTGAAAATGCCCCCCATTTTCCATTTTTAAGATCAGCTTATATCAATGGGGGCTATTGTGTTTCACAATGTGGCAATTTTTTGAGTTTTCTGTACTGATTAAAATATACTTGTAGAGATTTAAAATATTAATAATTGCAGAAAATTAATTCAGGTCTATTGGTAAATCTACCTTTTTGTTCCAGTGGAGTTACCAAGATCAGCAATAACCAAGCTGTCTTCCTTACGTGATCTTCCACTTCAACTGCAAGATTTCTACTATCAAGGCTTCTGTTTGGCTACCATCTATCCCTTTCTGCAATCTAATAAGAATGAGAAGACAATTCAGGAGCAAATCTTCAGGGCTGTACTGATCAAGAAAATGGAAAGGTAAATATGTTTTGAGGAAGGGGGAATAAAAATTGACAGATTTTTTGCTGAGCTTTGTTCCAGGTCAGAAATTATAGCAGTGTCACATTATTATTCTGCTATGAGCTATTCAGAGTATCCAGTGATGGGGAGGTGCTTCAGTCCCTTCTAGGAACCTGGGCTTAAACTTGAGGACACTCCTCCTCCTCTACGAGACTCCTCCTTAGCGTCCCTTTCTTCAGATAGGTTGTGTTATTGTTTTCCTGGTCAGAACAGAAC